CTTTTATGTTTCTCTTGTTAAGTTTCTACTTAGATATTTTATATTTTAATTTCCTATCTAAATGCAAATTTATGCATTATATTTTGTAACTGACTCTTCTACATTTATAGGAAGGCTATCTGTGTGTGTGTGTGTGTGTGTGTGTCTATATGTGTGCACTAATGTTAAACCCACTTATTTTATAAATTGTAAATTTTCTTTTATAATTTACATTAGCTTTTTAGTTTATTATTTTGGGTTTTCTAGACATAAAATCATTACATCTGAAAAGGACATTAGTTTTACCTCCTTACCTCCTCTTCAAATTTTCATGCTCATTTTTTTTCATCAAATTGTTATAACTGGTATTACATAATAGATTTTAAATAAATGGGAACACTTGGACTATTCTTCACTCTGGTGAGGCCACTCTAATGACTTCTAAGGCACAGCACAAGGACTCTTGTCTCCCATTTCCAGTGCATGCACTACGGCCATTTTCTCTATACCAGCATGTGCTCAGAAAAAAAAAAAAAAAAAAAAAGAGAGAGAGAGTAAGACATTAACGTCAGTGTAGGAAGGAAATAAGTGTTCATGAATGTGCAGGATAGGATAAAGGAGGGAAATTATCTTTTCTCTACAGTAAATAAAAAGAGACTTATCAAGAATCGGTAGAATTTGATGTCTTAAGCTTTGAGGTTGCATTTGACAGAAATTGGAACTCATTGTCATTTGATTTAAAAGAAAGGGATTATAAAATTTTCCACTTCACCATAGCAGGAGTTATGTGGTTATCTAGGGAAAAACGTATTATGATAGTCCAAAGGACCGTCTTGGACTATTTCCCCTTTTGTCTAGTTTTCATTGCCATATTCTTCTCTTTTCCTCCATTTATCACATTGCTGAAAATTGAGTCAGAGATTTATTTATTTAAGATATAACAGATGTCTGATACATCAAGCATAGTAATTGGACCAAATATGACACTAAAGAAAATCTAAAGAAATAATGTGTACACTATAAATAAATGTCAAAGATTATGAATAGATAAGATCCTCTTGGGTTTTCTCTGTTCCAACATGGGCTACAACTTAAAGAAAAAAAATCTGTCAATAAAATAATTATTTGTTTTCACAATCACTGTTTTATTTAAAAAATAAAATGGAAATAGAATATATTTTATTATATGGTATTTTGAGCAACTACAATTTAAAATATAGCTTGTTTCTCAGCCATTGGGAGAATAACATTTAATTTTATGTGTTTTACATTGATGCAGATTCTGTTCTTTCTGTCTGTAGATAAAATGGGCCTAGTAGTGCATTTTTCCTGAAATATATAGTAATTAATACATTTCATTAAAATAAGATAAAATATTCATGCATGTCCCATAGCACAATTGTAATTTGTCTTAAATTATCACTATATATATTATGAAATACTTTATTAGAGATTTTAATTATATAAAAACCATAATGCTTATATTAAAATTAGAAAAATTAAGAAAATATCATGATCTCAATACAAAGCTAAGTTCCCAGAAACATTAAATAAATTAAGAAAGGCATGATGTCATTATGTTTTCAAAATATTGTATAGAAAGAATCACTAGGTTTGAATTCTTAGTTTTGTTTTGGTCGCTATCAAAAACCTACATTTATGGATGATGATAATATTATTAAAAAAGAAAATTATAACAACTTAATCTTTTGCTTTTGAGATGATTCAAACAAAAGTAAGAATTCAAACCAAGTGATTCTGTATAACATTTTGAAAACACAAGGACATCATGCCTTTCTTGATTTATTTAATGATCCTGGGACTTTAATTCTAGTAAACTTCCAGTTTCAAAAACAAAATTATAAAGCATATGTAAAAGAGACAATGATGCAAAATTGCACAATTACCTGTCTTAATTTTTAAAACTCAGAAATTTTAGTTTGATTCACATAATCATTTTTTTCTCAAGAACATTTATATGAATGCGACTTGATTTGAAAAGTAATTTGTGACCTGAGACATATAAAACTGTATGTTTTGAGGTGACAAGTTTTAAACTGTATAGTAAAAGCCAACTGAGAGCCTTCACTCATCCAGTCATCAACAAATAAAATTGAAAAAAATTCTTTAACTGAATTATTATTTAACCTTTTATTATGGGAAATGCATTATTTAATGTTTTCCAAAATATAATGAGACATCAAATTGAAAGTACATACTACAAGTCAATCTAAAATCATGACATTTAATTGGTAAATGTGGCCAATCCCTTCAACATTCATAGTGGAGATGAATAAATTAAAAAGGCATCAAAATGGAAGATAGGTGACCCTGCTAAAAAATTGTTAATTGCATTTGTCTACTTTTAAAAATAAATTTTACATTGAATTTCATATGTGAACTATTTTCTAGTACTTTTTTTTTTTTTTTTTTTTTGTAGAGATAGGGTCTCAAACTCAAGCATTCCTCCTGTCTCAGCCTCCAAAAAGTGCTACAACACCTGGCCTCTAGTCTTTCTATTTATAAGTTGGAGATATAATAGCATTTAGGGTGAGTGGTGGAAACTTTTGCAGTTTTTCCTGTAACTATCTGACTCAGCATCAGCTGAAAATACCCTTGTATTATTTTAACATTTTCCTTTCCCCTACTAAATAATGTGTCACTCTGGCTATGCCCTGAGCTGCTGACTCAGTTCTGTCTAAGATGATGCCTAGGGATCTTAAGCAATGATTGAAAATGCAGGAAGTTTTCCCCTTAGAAAAGCCATGGTTGGCCGGGTGCAGTGGCTCACACCTGTTACCACAGCACTTTGGAAGGCCGAGGCCAGCAGATCATGAGGTCATGAGATCGACACTATCCTAACACGGTGAAACCCTGTCTCTCCTAAAAATACAAAAAATTAGCCAGGCACCATGTAATCTCAGCTACTCAGAAAGCTGAGGGAGGAGAATTGCTTGAACCTGGAAGGCAGAGGTTGCAGTGAGCCAAGATCGCACCACTGCACTCCAGCCTGGGTGACAGAGTGAGGCTCCATGGCAAAATAAAAAAGAAAAAGAAAAAGAAAAGCCCAGGTTTTGGTAACTAAATGCACAGACTATTGATCCACAACTTTTAGTCAGTTTACTTTAAATAAAGGGAGCTTCTAGGCCTTTTACCTTTTATATTTTTAAGCCAAAGGAAAATGTTTTATTGTTTTATCTGTTTTACGTTCTACTGAACTTACTTTTAATTATTATATTTCTTTTAGCTCTTTAATACTTAATTTCAGTTTTTTCAAATGCAGAAAAATACTCTTATGAATTCCCTGAGTAACTTGCATTTTTAATGAGGAAGACAGACAGCCTTTTGCTTCTAATTAGTTCTGTAAAATCCTTTTAATGCTTTGAAACAGATACCCTTTTGGGGTCTCAAATGACACCTTTGCCCTAAAACACAGTCTTATGGAGGAAATGGATGGCATAGACCTTAAATCACTGCTCCTGGCAGTCACTGAGACTTTTGGCTAAGGATTTCTTCCCACAGGAGCAATAAGCACCAACTCACAGACAGCTTAGGATAAAGACTAGATTATTGTTGCCTTCTAATTTCTAAGCCCATTCAGTTCTTGGTAAATGAGTTCACAAATTTAAGATAATTTTCTGACAGTGGCAAAGCCTTCCATTTAGCCCATAGCATGGGGTAAAAATAAAATCAGAAGTCATCATAATTCCTTTGTAGATATATATCTAAAAATAACCACTCCATAAAAGATTGTATAAGCTACAAATATTCCAATGTAATTTCTATTTTATTTTGAATTTTTTATTATTAAATATTTTTCTTATATTTTTTCTTTCTTCAAGCCATATCAAATTAATTTTTCCCTGGCCAAATATTTAATAAATCTACTGACTTAAAATGTCACCTTTTTCAAATATTACTTTTCATACAAACATGATACCTTGCATACTGTTTCATTTTCACTTTTGTGTTTTCTGGTACCAAGGCCTCATAATTTGACTTTTATGAATTTCTAATGTATATTCTACTTGATAAACTTAGATGCCTTTTTTTTAAGTGAAATATAGCCCATTGAAACTTCGGTTTGCTTCAATTATGTAGGTCAATTTGAAAATAGCTTCTATCTTTATAGAACTATTTTATTTGTTCTGAAATATGTGTCTCTACCTATTAGCTTCTTGAATGCCCTTTAATGAAATTTTTTACAAATATCTCTTTCTTAGTCTGTCTGTCTCAAATGCTTCTCATTATATTTGTTCAAAATACTATGTTCTTTTGTTTCTGTTATGAATTATATCATTTTTTGCCATTATATTTCTAAATGACTCTTTGTTGTATTAAAGAATTTGCCATTTACTCTGTTTTCTATTGCTTAGAACAGAATACCTGAAACCGAGTAATTTGTGAAGAAAAAGAATTTCTTTTTTACAGTTTTAGAGGCCGAGTACTCCAAAGTTAAGGGGCCACGCCTGATGAGAGCCTTCTTTCTGATGGGGAATTTCAGCAGAGTTCCGAAGCTGCCTAGAGTATCACATGATGAGGGGGCTGTTTGTTAGCTCAAGTCTCTCTGCCTCTACTTATAAAGTCAGCAGTCCCATTTGCATGATAACCCATTAATCCATGAGTGGATTAATCCATTCATGAGAGCGAGCCATCAGGACCCAATCGCTTCTTAAAGGCTCCACCTTTCAATACTGACACATTGGGGATTAAGTTTCAAAATGAGTTTTGGAGTGGACATACATTCAAATCATAGCATCACCCCCATTCAAAGTTCTTTAGTTCTACCAATTTTTCTGAGTCCTTGTTTTTTTTTTCTTGCAAATAATTATATATGCAAATAATGTGGGCTCTTTTGCTTTTCCCTTATCTATAATTTATTTTGTTAGTTGTATAATGTGGCAACTCCTTTTACAGTTAGTTGCATAGTGTTGCAACTAATAAAGTATTTTATTCGTTGCACTTCTGAAACAAATCTAAGTAAGTCACAGTGGTGTGGACTTCTACCATGTTGTTTCCAGGCTACAATTCAGAAGTGTGCAAATTTGAGCAACCTATGGAAACACATCATGTGCAGGCTTGCGTCTGCCTCCAGCAGGACTCTTGTAAGTACTGAGCTGCAAAGAAATATATACTATATTGTATCTTTTTGTATTTTTTAAAAGGAATACTGAACCATTTAAAGAATTTTGTGATTAAAAAGGTCTAACAAAAAGGTTAGTTTCCTGGTTGATTTTTGTCTCTTTAAAAATAGGCAAAGTAGAAAAGAAAGGTAGAGGGTATAAAATGCAGCAATGTCTTCCCAGGAAAGAGTGCAAGAAGTGTTTCTCACTTAGGTTAAGGATATCCAGATGGATAACTGCTAACTGGAGCTCAGAGTACACACTTGGAGTGGAAGAGGTTGGAAAGCTGGGAAGAATGGATGGCATGGTCTTAGAAAGGGCTGGAAGTGGAACACAACAGCCACCAGGAAGCCAAACACCTGGATACAGTATTACAAGTAGAGACCTCAGTCACCCTGACACTTCTACAACCAGGAGAGAAGTTTAAAAAATGGGAAGTTGTGAGTATTGTCTGATTTTTACTTGCCTTCTGAAAATGTAAGATTTTATTTATTATTCTGTGTTATTATTAAACAACATTCTATGAAATAAATCTCAAGAATTTCTGCAAGCAGGAATGTTGACTGTCTAGTACAATTTGGTTTACTGAACTTTATTGTCAATGTGTCAAGTAAAGTTTAATTCTTTCATTTAAAAAAAGACAGACAAGATGATGAGTAGGGAGCTGTTTTCACTTTGACTTAAGCTACCTCACAATATTAGAACGACACTTTACATAAGTGTCTAAATATTAAATGCTATTTTTCTACTGGGAACATCACCTGATAACATTTTTATCAGTTAAATCTCCTGATCAGCGTGTCTCTTTGGTCAGTTTGACAGTGAATTTTGTCTTACCTGTGAAGTTAAACCCATGATAAGCACTGCCAGCTCCTCTGTCATCTTATACTGTTTTCCTCTTTGTATATTCAGCTCTTTGTAAGTTTTCTCAGGCAGTTTGATCTTTACTCTCAGTTAATCTCCAACTCACTAGTAATAAAACCTTATCATGAGACATTCAATCATTCACCTACTCTTTCATGCATTACAAAAATATCCATTTACCATATACTATGTCTCAGGCATTGTACAAAGTAGTTTGTTTTAAGCCACTAAATTCAAGGTCTGCAAAATGCTAAGATAATATTTTTCTTTAGTGGTGTTATTGTGCAGCCCAAGCATTTCAGTAATTTCCTAGCCTTGACTAAATTCACCTGCATACAACCTTATACTCCATATGTACACCAAAAATCCTGGTCTGCCAGGACTGCACATCCACTGAAACTAAAACAATATGGGAATCTATTCAGCTTTACACAACAGGGATAACAGAGTGTCATAAGGAAACCAGCCCCCAGATCAATCCTGTTAAGCCTTGTCTGTGAACGTCTGTTTTATCTATTATTTAAAATGAAAATGCTCACTAACTGCCTACTGTGCTCAGGCAAGCCACATACAGCAGAGAAGTGGACCTAGTAGAATATAATAATGGATGGTGGCAAATTGGAAAATGCACACTCACTTTAAAGGGAACAGCAAGCTACCTAACCACAAATTGTTGTCTTGCAGGATTATGGAACCAACGTGGTCAGATTTGTTTTATGAAACCCAAAATTTAACTTCTAATGTCTCAATTTTTAAGGTGCAGGTATAATTCAATACATCTACAAATCAAATAAAGTGTATATACTTATAGTAATTCTATTTTTTACATAAAAAGAACTTTCATTTCAATAGAGACTAAACTAAATTAAAAATTGATCGACAAGCCTATTACCTTTACTATCAAATAACATAAAATAGAAAAACTTATGTCAATATTTTAAGCTAATTTAGATAAGTAAGAACATTTTAAAAATGAAAATAATAAGATAAGTTAGTGACTAATTTCTCTGTCTACATAAAATGAACACAGAACTTCTATATGTCAGAAAATTATAAAAGAATTCAAAGGTAAACTTCAAAGCAGAAATAATATTTCCCAGTAATATCTGACTCTCATACACCACCAATGAGACTATTGATTGCCTCCACCTTTCTAAGAAACAGTTTAACAATATATATCAAGAAGGATAAAAATAATATAAGCTTTGACCTAGTGAACCAATTTCTAAGAATTTATACTAAGGAGATTGTTTGAAATAGTTTCATGTATGATTAAAATTTTATTTACATGGGTGATTATTCTAGAATATTGATCACGTCACATAAACTATTTCTCATGTTATTTATTACATCAAATATTGGAAATAGGCTAACATCCAGCATTAAAAAGGATAAATAATCATAACCAATTCAATAGAAATTATTTTACACTCTTCATAACACGATGGTTTTAAATATTTTTTAAGATATAAGGCAAATAGTGATATTTAACTTAGCTTTTTAAAATATCATATAAAATCACCTACAATCTACCACTGGTTTTTAATGGCTGCTTGCAGATTAGAATATACCTTTTGGAAATATTCCTGAATGCCTCCGAGCATAGCACATGAATATGTATATCCTACCATTTTGTTTTTCCCTCCCTTCTCACCTTCATCCTCTTCTCTCTTTCTCATTATGCACTAAGCAATGTATCAGAGATATATTCATGGTTCATTACATTTTTTAGTGTAATTTTAGATGAGTATGCAACATTCCTTCGTATAACAAGTACAAACATAAGCATCTAATCCCTTATTTATTGTTTTTTAGGTCCTCTGCAGTTTTTTGTTGTTGTTGATGATGATCTTCCTGTCATAGACAATGCTGTAATGAACAGACTAGTAAGTATAACTGTATAAACTCCAGCAACTTTTTTCTGTAATGTTTCCTAATTGAGAGATTACTGGGCAAAAAGCAGACATATATAAAATTCTAATAGATATTCTTAGATTTTCTGTAAAGTTAGTACCAAGTTAAATTTCTACAAGTAGTGTAACACAGTATATGTTTTTCCCAGTACTAAATATGAGCAAAGGTTTTTGAATTACGCAAACCTGATAGTCAAAAAAACCTCATTATTGTAACTGTGTGATCTTGACTACTAGTGAGGTTAAACACCTTCTTTTTTTTTCTTTTGCTTTTTGACAATAACTTTCATCTTAAATGAATTACCTTTTATTTATTTATTTATTTATTTATTTATTTATTTATTTATTTTTCTTAGACAGAGTTTCACTCTGTCTCCCAGGCTGGAGTGCAGCAGTGCCATCATGGCTCACTGCAGCCTCAACCTCCTAGACTCCAGTGATTTTCCCACCTCAGCGTCCCAAGTAGCTGGGAGTACTGGCATGCACCACCATGCCTGGCTAATGTTTGTATTTTTCTTTTTATGGAGAAGAGGTTTCACCATGTTTCCCAGGCTCATCGTGAACTGTTGGGCTCAAGCTCTCTGCCCACCCTGGCCTCCCAAAGTGCTGGGATTACAGGCATGAGCCATTGTGTCCAAGCTGAATTATCTATTTATATTCTATGCCCATTTTTATTATAATATTTGTTTTTTACATAATTTCACAGAAAGTTTTAGTCAAAATTAGGAAAAATTATTACGAAAGATTATTTCTAAGGAATATCATAATGAGTATTTTAACATTGAATTTGAATTTTTTTCATTTAAAATTTTATACATGTATCATTTTTATGCTATAAAATTATATAACCATTTTACTTAAAAGGCAATAAAGGATATGATGATCAGCAGGTAAGTCATAAAACAATATAAAGGTTTCATAGGATAGAAACCATTTTTATTCATATAAACCTCCTGTAATTCCAGGCTCATTTTTTTTTTTTACTAGTTATTTGACTCCAGCATCACTCATACAGCATTTCTGTATGTCTTGATAAGTACACAGGTTTTCTACATTTTTTGAGCTAAATCGTGATGAAGCAGATGATAATCTGAGGCTTGCCTGCTATATTGTGAAAATCTGTCTGTGCTTGTAATAAAGGCTTCATCTCCACAACACCTAAAGTATGTGTCAAGGGTGGATAATTGAAACTCTTTTTTTAAAATGGAAAATACCATATTACGCGAATTATTTGTGTGAATTACTCATTTCTTTATTTTAATATAAAGTATACATTAAGGCTTCTAAAAAAATACTTTTGTTTGTTTTCAAAGGTAAAGAAAAGCAATACACTTTTGAAATTAATAGACAAGAGAAAAAAATAACATATCTCAAATAGAATTGGGCTAGTATAGTGCTGATTATCTCTCTCTCGTATGGTTTACATTATGTGTGTTTGTTTAGAAACATCATTTTACTAATCTTTGGGATATTGTAGCCAAGTAGTCTGCAGAGTTTTGCTGTTCAATTTATCTTATCTTTAATATTGATTTGTGGGCTCTTAGGGCCATCAGCTATACTACGAAAAGGTCCTCTTTTGTTGGTCCTTTGTCATTTACTTCTTGTTTCCAATCCATCAGCACATTTTTTATTAAGTTCCTATTTTGTTAAAGGCAAGACGCTAAGCAAAAGGCAACGAATTATAGAAATTACAACCTGCCCTTTAAAAGCTCGTAGTCTGTGCAGGAGTGGAAGGACTATAATATTTAAAGAGAATTAAGATAATTTAATAAGAATTATTTCAACAATAAGCATTGAAGATTTTGTTTTCATTTTGTTACTTGTTTACATGTTTTTACCTGGAATAAAATATAAATGTTTTAGTGCCCATAGCTAAGAGAGGCGATAGGGCAGTGAATAACATAATATGTGTGGCTATAATATGGTTGTAGGTATAGACTGTATATAGAAAAATAAGAAGAAAAAAACAAATTCTGAAAGACTCAGAAATAAATCTATTACTGAAACTATTTGGTGAAGACTAAGCTATTGAAATGTCAATAATTGATTTAACATACATTATTTAGCATTGGTCTCTTTAATTGGGAAATTGTTGTTTCCAAAAACTAAATGGGAACTTATTGTTTATGTGATAGAACACGGAGATCTTTCGTGACTCAGCGATGGCTGGATTCAGAGGACAAAAGATTGGTACAAGCAGTGACTTTTCTCCATCTCTTGGTTCTGTCTGCCTCTGTTTTGGCCCTGGGCAGACAAGCATGCCCCATTGTGGTGCAAAGAAGGCTATGGAAGTTTCAGCCTCCTATCATTCTGGGTTTTAGTATATATACATGATATGATATGTTTTTTTCTTTTTTTTCCTTTTTTTTTTTTTTTTTTTTTTGAGTCAGAGTCTCGCTCTGTCGCCCAGGCTGGAATGCAGTGACGCGATCTCGGCTCACTGCAAGTTCCGCCTCCCGGGTTCACGCCATTCTCCTGTCTCAGCCTCCCCAGTAGCTGGGACTACAGGCGCCCGCCACCTCGCCCGGCTAATTTTGTTTGTTTGTTTTTTAGTAGAGACAGGTTTTCACCGTGTTAACCAGGGTGGTCTTGATCTCCTGACCTTGTGATCCGCCCGCCTCGGCCTCCCAAAGTGCTGGGATTACAGGCGTGAGCCACCGCGCCCGGCCGATGATATCTTTTTAAAGTCAAGTTGAAAAAAGCCCCAATTCAATGCTTCAAATCAAGGAGCATGCCTATCTCTGAGCCAACCTCTGTTGATGGGAAAACAGGATGCACTAAATGGCTAAAGCCTGAGTCAATATATACCCTTGAAATAGGGGATTTAACCAGCTCCACCAAAACAAGCAAACTGAAAGTGGGGTTTGCCACTCCTGAAAGGAAAATAAAAAAACAAAATGATTTGTAGATGATCTACAAGCAGTAAGCTTGATGATATGAAGCAAGAAAATATCAATTAGGTGATTGTGGGGATTCATTTTTAACACTTAGAGTTCACATACTTGTATGTTTTGTATGAACATATGAATAGAATGTTAACAAAGTAGCCAACATATCTAAATGTTGTTTAAAGAAGAGAATTTCAATGTTAGGTGGAGTGTTGGGGAATAAGCACAGGTAAAATGTTAAGAAAAAAAATCAGTAGGCAAATTTAACAGTAAATATCAACATTTTTATAACTGCTTCACCATTTTACCCACAGTCATATCTTGAAATTCATCATAACGAAAAAATTGGTCAAGCAAAAATGAATATATATGTTTATTGCATATGCTTAATATCAACATGGGAAAACCACTAAATGATGAATAATAAATAATTAATTGAATAACCCATATAGTGAAATACTTTGGAAGCATTGAATAGCATAATTAGTTTTTTGTTTGTTTGTTTTGAGACAGAGTCTTGCTCTGTCACTTGGGCTCAAGTGGAGTGGCACGATCTTGGCTCACTGCAACCTCTGCCTCCCAGGTTCAAGCGATTCTCCTGCCTCAGTCTCCAGAGTAGCTGGAATTACAGGCATGCACCACCATGCCTGGGTTATTTTTGTATTTTTTTAGTAGAGATGGAGTTTAAACATGTTGGCCATGCTGGTCTTGAACTCCTGTCCTCAGGAGATCTGACCACCCAGCACCCAAAGTGCTGGGGTTACAGGTGAATGTTATAATGAGTTTTTATAAAATAAACTATTGCACAAAAAAGTTTAAAAAATAGTGTGTGTAATATGATTATATTTACATATATTAATTCTTAGAGAAGGTTTGGAAGGTTGTTTACTAAGATATTTTAAAATTGATTATGTCTATATTGTGGGGCTAGAGGCAATTTTTGTTTTTGCTTAGTTGCATTTTCTATTTTGTGGAATAAAAAAATGTAATTTTAAAATTTATAATAATAGAGGGAAAGGAAAATTTCTTGATTTTCCATTTCAAAGTAAAAGACAATTTCAATGACATTAAAAATAAATGAGTGTTAGCATAGTTTGAGTATTTTAGCTTTATTTCTTTAAAATACATGCAGAATATGGCACATCAGTTAGCAAAAGAAAAAAAAGTGACCTGTGTGTGTAGGCTTGTGTATGTATGTGAATACACATATATTTACACATACATTGTACAACTCTCACCTCGCTTTTTTTTTCCAGATTTTATATTATAGTTAGTTTTAACTAAATGCCAGCTTTTTTCCCTATTACCAAGCCACTGAATTACATAAAATGTATAAAATGGAGCATTGCTATTGTGCGTCTGGAATATACATGAGCCAAAGAACCATGCAATTGCGAGTAAGAAGAGAATTACAGTTTTAGCCTCAAAAGACCCTTGATCACACATCACTCATTTTGAAATATAACACTTGAAGAAAGCGAAATAAGACTTTGAAAGTTTTATTGGAAGATTTGCCAATATCTTGCAGAATAAAATCTACCATGTTTCCAAATATTTATAATAACTGACATAAAAAATAAATACAACTATCTAAATCCAAATAACTTTTGATTTAAAAGGAAAATATAACTTAAAGATGTGCAAGAGGGAATCACAGAATGTCAAATCTGGAATGTCTTAGAGATCATCTAGTTTTAATCTTATATTTTATAAATATGACCAGCTGGAAACCATGATGCAAAATGACTCACCTGAAGTCCTGAAGCTCAGTGAGGGGAAATTCAAGATCACATTGCCTGACTCACAGTCCTTTGCTTTTGTTGTTAAGCTACACTGCTAAAGCAACCACAAATGAGCTCAGTACTCCTTGGATTTTCCTCCCCGTGGGTCTGGAGAAACAATGATTTGGCTTGTGCTGTCAAATAACAGATATAGCCTTTGAGTCAAGTAAACTACTTATCTCACAGTTTATTTACTGTGTAACTTTGGACACATTAGTTAAGCTCTCTGAGCCTCACTTTTCTCATGTTTTAAATGTTTAAATACTATCTTCATAAAAGTATTGTGAAACCTTTATATTTTGGA